AATGAATGATTATCGAATTACTCATTTTAGTTTGCAAGGAAGATATTTTTATTGCATGACATATTTTTTCAATGTTTGTTTTGAATTGGTTTTTACCAGTAACAGACGTTCAAAATTAATTATTTGTTTATACCAGATATAGCGGATTCAATACTTTGAGTTAATTTAGGTCGCCTTCTCACGCAATTATCATAATCCCACTATCAACCCCGGCTTAAAATTTCTTGAGTGGGTAGATGTTTAACGTATAATAATTGCAAGGAAATCGTTTGAAAATTAAAATTCTTAAACTAAAAATTCGCATGTAAATATGCAGTCGATAATTTTGATACACGAAAATTTTAAGAAATAAAAATTTGAAAATTATTGAAGAAATTAGCAGCAAAAAACAAAAAAGGCGATTGTTTTGAAAATTTGATATCTTTTAAAGGAGTAATCAAAAAAATATTAAACTTTACCAAAAAGGGATATTTAAAAATATCAAAATTCAGCATTTTTCAAACAAGTCTGCAGACTTGGTGTTAAATGTCCTATATAAAAAATCACCCCATCAACATTACCCCTGATCATTTTTCACTAATGTAATGGGTAATTTATTTCGTTACACATTTCTTTAATGTGTAATATACGGTCTCTCATTACTCATTTTTTATTTTTTAATGAGTAATGTATTGTTCGACATTACTCATTAATTTTTAAATGTATAATGAAAATATTTCTCATTACAATTTTTTTTAATGAATATTGTATTTAAACTACTCGTACATTTACATTAAAAAAAATTAAGATTGCTAATTTTTTATATTAACATTTTTGCAACTCTGTTGATAAAATGTTCTATAACTTCTATAATTTTAAATATTGCAATTTAACAAATTTTGTTTTAAACTACCTGTGATAGAATTTTTAAGCAATATTTCTTTAATTTAGTTGAAAGTTGTCAAATGTCATACAATCGTTAAAATAAAGTGCCTTTCTTGTAAAATATTATTAAATGTCAATACAAAAATACAAAAGTTTTAAATAATTTCTTGATGCCAATATTTGAAAAGAAATTCCCAAGTTAGAAATTCTAACGGGAATTCCAATAAATACTGTCACTTTTTGTACCTTTAACATTTGTGTTGGAATTTTTAATACTTTGTGACAATATTTTGCAACATAATTATATTTTAAAGTTATTTTAATATTTTAAAGTATTAATAATTCTTAAGTTTAATTAAAATAATAACGGGCAATGTTAATGGTGAAAATGACGTCAAAAATGTTTATTGGGATGATTACTTTATTTTCCTATAGATGTCGCTTTATACAAATATTTAATTTAAATAATTTTAAAGTTTTGTCGTGGAAAAAGTATAGTATGCAACTCGTTTATAAAACTTGATACATTATATACTACTATGAAATGAAAAAGCTTGGAAATAAAAACGAAATCCCTTAAAAGAGGATTATACTTTTCAATGGACAACTTTATATTTGTAACGAAAATAAAATAGAATAAAAATCGGTTTTATCGTTAAAAGCAGGGCTCCATTGTTGTAATTTATATGGTAAGAGATGTCGGCAATAAAATCCGGTATAATATACCCATATGATATAAAGTCTGTAATCCGCGATTTATTGGAATTTTTCGCAAAGAGGTCGACGGAAATGATGCAATCAACTGCCGGATATTTGTTGCAGTTCAAATTTCAGACGTATGTTGTACCTTTAATTTTTTTTTACGAACACATGGAATTTTATTAAATCGTGTAAATGTTTTCTGTACACTGTTATAAAAATCAGATTTGTTAACGTAAGTTTTAACATAATTTTTTGTAGTTTTGTAAAGGTAATATTTAATTTTTTAAGCATTTTGTTAATTTCAAAGGTTACAGATTATTTTGTTAATGTTTAATAAATTATTTCGTTGAAAAAGTACACGTGATTTCAGGCAGTTAATCAAAACATTTCCCACTGACAATACGCATCAACAAGTTCAACTGACTTCAGCGTCTGCAACTTATGTTTCTACTTACTTTATTCTAATTTGTAATGTGTTCGTAGCAACTGTCAGAGTGTTTATAATATATTACCAGAAATCTGTTATTTATTATTTTTTTGTTTTGAAAATTGATTAATAAAGCAACATTTCTTATCAAAATTCTTTTCATTTAAGTTCACAATTTCCTACAGTTACTTTTGTTACTCGGTCCACAAAAAGGTTTGTAAAAATAAGGCCCTTTTCTAAAATTACAAGATTTATGGTTGAATTATTTATATAGGATTTTGTTATCAAATCTACAAAATGTTTGTTATAATTACAAACTACTTATTCAATTATTTAACAGATTACCTGAATTAGCATAAAATCTGGTTAATATTTGGTTAAAATTAACAAATATTTTTACTTTGTACAAAAAAATCCTTTTTTTTAATTGTATAAAAGTTCTTAGATATGCTAAATTATATAAAATTTTAATTGAAATTATTGTATATAAACATAATGTAAAAGTTGCAATAATGGCGAATGCGCCGGGATCAAATCGGTACAATTAGTTCAATATTTAATTTTAATTAAAAAAAAATAACCCTTTTGTGAAAATGAAATATTTTATTTAAAAAAATATAAGCTTTTAGAAAAAAATACCAAACTTAAAATAAAAACTGTCAGAAGGGTAGAAAATCGCATTTTTCATTTTAATTGAATTTTCGACGGTCTTCTGTTAGTTAGAATTTTTACAAAAACAATTTTGTTTGTGTTTTTATAAAAACATTATTTATTACAAAAAAAAATTGGCGAAAAGTTAAAAAAAAAAGTGTAGGGAGTACACCCCAAAACAAATTTTATTTGGTGGAACGACCCATGTGTGTTTCACATTTATGGCCCATTGAAAGTGACATCAACTTTGTTAATTTAAATATAACACCAATATATTTTTACATATTTAAATCCAACATAAAATTCTGAATTAAATTACTATACCTAAAGTGAATAGTTTTCTAGTAACTAATTTTTTTTCGTTAAAATTCGCGTTAATTATAACTAGCCTATAATTTTTTATTATTAGGTTTGCGGATATGAAGGTGGAATTTTTCTGATCTAAAAACATTGCTTAAAAGTTTTCATATCAATTCTCTTTTTTTAACAAATTACCCAAGAAAACCCAGGGCAAACTAGGCTTTAAACGTAACTTTAACTTTTTTATTTTAAATTTAAAGCCTGAATTATAGATTGCCTTCCTTCCTCCCGTAGTCGTGCCCGTACGATATGTGCAGAGACAAGGTCTCTGATATGTGCGTCTGATATGTGCGTCTTGTAAGAATTCAATTTATAGATTGTTGTGTAATGAGAAAAAACATCGAACAAGACGTTGGAAGACTCGCCAACTTTACCAAGACCGGGAAACTAGGGGGTTTTACAAAGCAACGTTTCTAAAAATGAAAGACATTGATCATTAACAATATCTAAATATCCTATTTAGAGACACAAATTATTTAATAAACTAAACACCTATGAGCAAGATCACGTCAACTGGACCCCCCATTTTCCACTTGATCATAAAAATTAAGTCCATATATTTTTTTCATAAGTTGTTAGTATGAAAAATTGATCCCCCAAACAATTTTTGAAAAATTTTAATTTTAACCACAATTTATTTTACAATGAAAATTTTAGGTACTTTTAATTAAAAATTAGATTTTAAATCAACCGTTAAAGATAAATTAATGAAATTTTCAGGATTTACAGTCAAATATATATATTTTAAGAAAATATTAATAACTAAAAATTATTTGTTTATTATCATATTGTTAATTAACTTTTAAGTTAACAAATGAAAATTTCATTGATTTCTCGGTGAAAATTTGAAGTTTTTTTTTACTAGACACATGCGTTATTTATCGAAGTTTAATATTCCGGAAGAAAATTTCACTGCTCGTGATTAGTTTAAACAATATGAATTTATTTATCACAGCGCGCCGGCCGCCAACCGCTGTCAGAACACCGCGCGGCCTAGCGTCAGACTACATTGCAGCTTCGGTTAATTATTAATTACAAATAACAATTAAAAATATAATTATCAAACCAATTTTATTATTATTAATATTAATATTATAAGTAATACAATAAATAAACTCTCTATAATTAAACAAAAACAAGTAATTAAACATAAAAATTTATGAACTTCTCGTAATCTTTATATTATTTTTTTTTAAAACTCTGTTAGTAAAAACTTTCTCATCGTCCGATACAAGTTTACACTCCAAAAATACATCATCCAACGGTTTAAAATAGTGGAATTGACGAGTATTTTTTATTGTAATTACCCGTTCAAATCGTTGTTGATATTTTTGCTCATGTAATTCATGATCCTTTTGGGAACAGAAAGCAAAATGAACTTTTTTAAATGAATTTTCCGCCCACTGGAAAAAGGAACGCGGTGTTGTAATGTGATTATTTTTGTCACGTTGAAGGCTAGCACGAAAAGCCTGTCTTTTTACACTTCCTGCTAAGCCGTCACACGCTCCTTTTCCATGAGCTGTTGCGAAAAAATTCCACTCCACTTTAACACCAAAATCATTTGAATGGTTTATTAAGTTGGCAAAGTTATATTTGTTTTTATATTGTGAAGCTGCTCCATCGGAAAAGTACTTAATTTTTTTAACATTTTCAGCACCAAATTTATTTTTTAAAAATTCAATTAGTTTTGCATTAAAAAGATGGACCGAACTTGCGTCGTGACTAACTTTCTCGAAAATCACCACTAAATTTTCATGCTTTATCTCATCATTTTCTTTATAATACGCGACGTACGGATGAAGTGTAGCCTGATCATTAGACCAATGATGTGACTGGATAGCGTCTTGAACAAAAAATGAATAGTTTTCGGAGAAATCTAGACAGACTATAAACTTTCCAGCTTCAGCAGATTCTTTCTGTTTAGAGAAGAAAGATGCTTGAGATTTTGGTACAAAATCATGCTTCAATAGCTCTGACCACTTATTTTTTAGCTCACTTAAAAAATCTTCTTTGGTATAGGTTGCTTCAACAATTTCAGTCCTGTAAAATTTAAAACCAATGTATAAGATTATTAACTGTGTAAAAAACAAAAAAAAATAACTAGACAAATTTATAAGATGGAATTCGATAATTTTGAATCAATCATGTTAATAAGATAAATTTTTACTCTCATTAACTAATAAACAAATAGAAATTATTTAATTATAGATCTAATTGACAAGTTATTCTTTAAAATTTTGTACTGAGATTAATAATTAGGTGAGTAATTTGTTAATATATATTAAATATATTTAGTATATATATATTAAATATATTTAGTCTTTTTTCTTACCTGTCAGTACTTTTCCATTGGCTAAAAGTTATGTCCGTTATTTCATGAATATCAATCAATAATTTTAACTTTTTAATGACAAAATCAACTTCTGGACACTTTTTACAAGTTGAAAAGAAGCATGCTGATGTTGGTTGAACGCAAACAGATCTTTGAATCAAGTCATTTAAGCTTTCAGGGAAATCAAATCCTTTTTTTTTTAGTTTATTTTTCAGTCCGTGCAATTGAAGGGGTTAGAATAAAAAGGGTATAAGTAACATTTTCATTTTTTGGAGATATTTGAAGTTAAAGTTATGTTACCATAAAAAAGTGAAGAATTTTGTATAGTATTGTTTTTCTACTGGATAATAGAGGTCCCTAGAAGTATGAAAATTACTTAAATCCTTTTCATTTCGATACGTCGGAACCTTATCTTTCACAAAACGAACTTATCTCCTAAATTAAAGAAATTGCACTTATACCCTTTCTATTCTAACCCCTTCAATTGTAATTTTGCATTTTGGTGAATTTTGCACACACACACATTATGTGTTCCACTTTTTCCAGCTGAAATACATTCTCGTGGTCGTAGAGTTTGAAATTTAGTCTGTCCAATTTTCTCATCCGGGAAAGTTTCTTTAAATTTTTTATATAAGTCATTAATGTTAAATAATAAGAGTCTTTTTTGTTTTTGGACTTTTTTACCATTTTCTGAAACCGTAACATAATCTTTCATTCCAGGCATCACACGACTAACGTCATCAGACAAAAAAAAATTTTTAACGCGATCGAGTGTTGAATTATCCAGGTTTTTTCCTTTTTTAGCATCAGGCTGCGACGCAAATCCTAATTTTTTTCTAATATTTTTAGCAGCTTGTACCATTATCTTTGAAACTTTGAATTCGCGTCGTATCATTTTTATTGGCCAATCTAACGGAAGAGTAGTCAACACTTGGATTTTTTCGGACTTACTATTTGTTTGGTCAAATGCAGACTTAAAATTATTTAAAAGAACATCATTTGGATTTTTATGATTAATATCAGTACCGCTCAATTTCTTCATAGAAGTTAGAATTGCTTTTTTACACTCAGATACACTCGACACTCGTCTCACTTTTATTGGTGGTTCACCGACCTCCAATAGCAATTTATTAAGGTTATTAATTTTTAATTGATTATCTACAGTATTAGATTTGAAGGTCGGGTCTTTCTTGTTATCATCTTCAATCTCATCTACTTCTGGATCAGTCGCATCAATATTTACATTGTTATTTACAGGTTTTTCAGCAGGATTATCAAGTTTTCCAGGTTTACGACTAAGATATATTGCTCTCTCACAAGAATTGCACATGTAATATCCGATAAAATCCTTAAAATCGCAAGCTCGATTGGCTGTGATTAAAACTAAATTTTTAATTACGTATTTGTGATTCTTTTTATTTAATGGATTGCAACATTTATTTACTCGGCCCATTTTAAATGTTAATTGAAATTAATAATTAACCGAAGCTGCAATGTAGTGTGACGCTCGGCCGCGCGGTGTTCTAACTGTCAGAATCTGACAGCGCGCTGTCAGAACACCGCTGCAGCGGTTGGCGCCCGGCGCGCTGTGATAAATAAATTCATATTGTTTAAACTAATCACGAGCAGTGAAATTTTCTTTCGGAATCTTAAACTTAGATAAATAACGCATGTCTCTAGTAAAAAAAAACTTCAAATTTTCACCGAGAAATCAATGAAATTTTCATTTGTTAACTTAAAAGTTAATTAACAATATGATAATAAACAAATAATTTTTAGCTATAAATATTTTCTTAAAATATATATATTTGACAGTAAATCCTGAAAATTTCATTAATTTATCTTTAACGGTTGATTTAAAATCTAATTTTTAATTAAAAGTACCTAAAATTTTCATTGTAAAAAAAATTGTGGTTAAAATTAAAATTTTTCAAAATCGTTTGGGGGATCAATTTTTCATACTAACAACTTATGAAAAAAATATATGGACTTAATTTTTATGATCAAGTGGAAAATGGGGGGGTCCAGTTGACGTGATCTTGCTCCTATCTTAAATAATACTAACAATCATGTATTTTAAATATTTTGTGCCTACGCGCTGTCACCCTACAGCGCATTACCATAACAAGCACTGTGATTGGTCATGACAAAGACCTTTACGGTGAAAGATAAAACTTAAAAATTTCCAAGGGAGAAAGGAATGCCGTCCTTACGGTACGAGAATCTATAAATGGCACTACGATTTAAATAAACATTTTTGACGTAATTGTAACCATTAACATTGCCCGTTATTAATTTTAATTAAACTTAACAATTATTGATACTTTAAAATATTAAAATAGCTTCAAAATATGATTTTGTTTAGAAAATATTTTATCCTTTGATTTTTTTAATTACTATAATTGCAAAATATTATCACAAAGTATTAAAAATTCTTACACGGGAAATCTTAATGGTGACAATTGCGTCAAAATTGGGTTTCGTATTGTTCATCTTCTACGGCAGGAAGGAAGGAAGGAAGGCATTCTATAATTCAGGCTTAACACTTATTTCTGAAATTATTAAATTTATGTAATTTCCTATTTAATTATGTCAAAACATACAGGGTGTTACATTCAAAATATTCCAAAAGTTCCACCCCGATATCCGCAAACATAATAACGACAAAGTTTTAGTCTATGTTTAATTAATTAATAAAAATTAATAACTGCAAAACTATTCACTTTAGGTATAGGACATGGTTTACTCATAAGTTTAAGTAGACTTTAAAAATATTAAAATAACAATGTTGATGTCAATTTCGGTCAAATATGAAGTTGAATTTTTCAAAATATTTTAGAAAAATGGACTTAATTCCCCAAAAACTTGTAATGGACCACGAACGTGAAACACCCTGTAAATTGTATTGGATTTGTATTTCATTAAAAAAACTTGTATCTGATTCACCCTGTATATATAATGCCAGTTGTGACCAAACGTTTTATTAAAAAACTCACTCATAACTTACTTCCTTTAACACACTGTATAGGGCAAATAAAACAGAAAGGCTTTTACACGGTTCACGTGTAGTGCACAGCAGGGAGATGTTACGCGGCTATTTACCGCATTGTTGTATACATATATATATATACTACCGAACACGAATACAAATTCGACGTGAATGTGTGTATGCCTTACGGGTTCATTTTTCTTTTTATTTAGTTTTATTTTTCGATAGAGAGGAATAATTGAATCTCTGGTAGTCGTTAGGAACAAATTTAGGGATGTCATGCACAAAAATTTGTCTATGCAAGTTTTTCCAAGGTTTCGTATTTTATTTTTGACACCTTGCATTTCGACGTTATTAGAATATCTAACATGGCAGTATAAATTTAAAATGGTTAAATTCAATACCTAATTTAATGTATTATACATCTTGGTTTATTCACTATAGTGCATTCCATTTAAAAGTAAAGCGTTGAGTTGAATAGGAATTATTTTAGACCAACCACAACGCCTAAAATTGTGGTTTTATTTACACAGGCACAAATTTGACAAACTAACCTAATAATATTATACAATAAACCAGCAAGTCTTCTTATATTTAATATACAAGGTGTCCCTAAGCTTAGTGGCATAAATTTAGATTAAGCAATTCAATATAAGACGGAAATCTAAATACATATTTTTCCTAAGTAAGAATATGTGATTTGGTAGTAAGTGACTGTTCGCAAAATATCACCTTTCTAAGACTACCATAGTAGAAGTTATATTAAAAAAACTGATATGATAAGTAACACTTTATCGCCCTGTATCTTTTAAATATACATAATTAGGAAAAATATTTATTTAGGTTTTCGACTTATTTTTACTAGCTCAATCTTTTATGCCAGGGCAGATAGATAGGGAATAGGGGTTAAAACCACCCTAACTTTTTGTACGTGTCTCGTCCTATAGGATTTGATGTCAGATTTTGAAATTTCAGAATTTTACACACAAAAAAGGTCCTCTTGTTAAACTTTGATATTGTCCACTGTTTTCGCCTAAAATCCATTTAAAAATTACCTTACATAGCATAAAAGATCATAATGAATTCACAAGAGTTTAAAAATTGTCCATGGCCATGTTTAAAAATTGTCCATGGCCTACGCTAAATCTTTTTCTCTAGTTGTGATTTCATTATGAATTTTTATGCTATGTAAGGTAATTTTTAAATCGATTTTAAGCGAAAACGGAGCATGCTATCGAAGTTCATCAAGAAAACCTTTTTTGTGTGTAAAACTCTGAACTTTTATGATCTGATATCAAATCATAGCACAAGATATGTACAAAAAAGTTAGGGTAGTTTTACCCCCACTCTCTTTCTATCTAACCCACCCCTTATGAAAATTTTGAATTTGTTATTATTCCAACTTATTAACTATAAAAAGTTTGATTATATCCCAAAATTTCACTTTTCTATCTTAAACAGTTTTGGAGATATTAAATAAAAACCATCTTCAGGGGCTCCTCTTGTAGGGGCTGTAGCTCCCTTGGAAATCATTTCTCGACCTATTTTTATAGGAACTTTTTTTCTTATTTTTGTACATAGAATCTGCTGTTAAAGTATTGCAAGCTAATTATGGGACACCCTGTATATTACATACTTTACTCTTCAGTAAGATTCATATTTTTTTGACAGACCGCGTATACGACCAAATTTTTTTTATATCTTATGATTGTATTTTAGATTTGAAAACATGCAAAACATTTTAAGTAGAATAACTTTTACATAAAATTTTCTTAAAATTAATAATAACACTGTATATTATATTAAAAAATGCATTTTTTTTAAATGCATGTATGTATGCTAACACTTTTTTTTGGATTATTTGCCTTTTAATTTTTCCAACATTTTAATAAAACTCACTATATTTGTTATTATTATTTGTTATTGAATTTTTATATTATAAAATCCTAAAAACGTAATAAAACATTAAAATATTTACCACATAAAAAACCCCACTGACATTTTAATAAGGAATGCAGTCGAATAGTTAAGGTTATGTTTCTCAATTATTTTTTTTTGGTATAGATCATTCAGGGTTGCTATAATTTGTCCATAATATAAAATATAAATATAAATATTATTCTCCATTCTTAGATGGAATGGACTTTATGTGTTATGTTGCCCAGAAAGAAAAAACAAACTATAACTATAACAATATTTTAGTTATTTTTGCTTTGTTTTAACAAATAAATTGTTTCTCGAAGAAAACAAGTTTATTTTGAAAATTAATTGCCTAGCAGTTTTTTTCTTGAATTAAACGGTATTAGCTGCAATCGCCTTATAATGCGGCGCATTTTCTTTGGGTTTTCTTTTTAGGGATCGCTTCTATTAAGAACACTGGAGTTCATATATTTTTCATTGTTTTTCTAAGGTTGCGGATATAAAGCAGAACTGCTGAATCATAAATCAGTGGAAAGAAAAGCCGTTCGCTGTATTATTAACTTCTACTGTGCAATGTGAAATTGCTTGTTTTTATACTTAAATGTAATTGCTGTTTTGGTAATTAATGAAAATAAAGAAAATTTGCATTTTTTGCGCTGAATACTTTCGTGAGGTAAATTAAAGATTAAAATAATATGCAGCTTAGGGTGGTTCGCATTTAAAAAAATCCTTTCCTTTGGTTTAAGTTTTATACATTATTTCATTCGGTGATAATTATCAATTGCGCACCATGGTCACTTTTTACCTGCCAGCATTAAATCCTAAACTAAATTTAAAAGATAATTGTACTATGTTTAATAAAAATACCCCATTTAAGGTATAAAAAGTGGTATTTAGTTTTAAATAATAATTATTATTGAGTATAAAGGAACTATTTATGCATAGTTTAGCATTATTTAATCAATTTAGTTCGGGGATTAATTTGCAAACAAAAAGAACTCCTTTCGTTAAGCAGTTATTCATAATGGATTCTTTAACAGTTTAAGAAAAAATAGAAATGATTTTGATTTATGGAGAAGCAGGCAGGAATCTTGATGATGCTGTTAATATCTACGCTCAGCGTTTTCCGGAAAAAATTCGATCACGTACTTCATTTCATTGTACAGTCAAGCAGTTTACTACAAACGGGAGTGTTCAACCGAAAAACAGATTCGTCGAGCAAATATTTAATATTGTTATTTTGAGCACCTACTTTAATTAAAATTAAAAAAAAATCGAACAAAATTGATTTTTTTTCATTACAGCGCCATCTATTACAAATATGAAAAAATGTTTTAGACAAAATCTACCTATTTTTAGTCGAATGATCAGAATCTGCAATAAAAAATAGGGTGTTCCATTGGAAATTTTAAAGTTACCCCCTGTTCCCCCTATAAGGAGGAGAGTATGAGAAGTAATTTTAGTACTGACTGATTTCCCTCCTCGAATCATTTAATTTTTATTTTAAACATTTTTTCGTAAATTGCATACTAATTGAGATATTT